TTTATTGTGGTGGCTCTGGAAAACTCGGAATGCATGGATTTTCCAACAAATGCAAGTCCCAGCTCACATTATTTTGAAAGCAGCAACCTCGGACTGGATGGATTTTCTATCGGCTCATAGTCAATTGTCTCTGGTGTAGTTTGCTTTTGTTGTATATTGTAGAGACTTTTGTTTGCATTAGCTGCAGGTTGAACAAGTACTCTTGCTAGGCCTAGTGCAGTGGTGGAGTACCTGTTCCTTTTCTTCCTTTTCTCTCTTTTATTTTCTTTCATTGTTTTAGAGTTAGGTATTGCCATGAGGTTCTGGCGTGTCTAAGTCACTGTGTGAGGTGGCTTCCCAGTTTCTTTTTCGGTTTTTTGATGTCTGTTTTGACCATTGTACTTTAATCTTTTGAGTTATATATAATACCTCTATCGTTTCGGAAAAAAAAATAAAAAAAAATAAGGAAATGGAAGAATAGATTAAAATAATAAAGTTTTGAAAAAATATTTTCAAGAATTATTATTTTATTATTTATCTTTAATATGATTGAAGATTAAATATTAATAAAAATAAATTAATTATTGTGGTTTGGAGTTGTTAACCAATCCACATAATTAATCTTATTTTTTAATAAAATATTGGGTAGTAATAATCTTCTTCTAAGATTTAATATTTTATGAAAATATTCTTGAAGAATTTTTATATTTTATGAAAATATTCTACTAATATTATTATTTTATACTAAAATGTTTAGTATAAATATGGACATATTTGATGTTAAATTCAGCTAAGTTTTTGGCTAAATTCTTCCAAGAGAAAACATTCAAAGAGTTGAGTGATAAAATAAGAAAGAGTTCTTGTAAAATTTCCTTATAAATATATATTCTATACTTCTTGAAAAACCGAGTAGTTTCTACTAGCGAAGAAACTATAGTCGGAATCAAAGTTCAAAAGGTGGATACGATTAGAGGGAAGACATTTGGATTTCAAAAGTGAGTAACCACAAGAAGTGATCGTTACCAAACCGGGAATTGATTTCCTCATACATCGTTGGTTTTGAAGGAGTTCAAGAACAAAGGCAATTTTTATAAATTACATATCAAATCAAAATTAGTAAAAGTTACTAGATTTTAAATGATGCTTATTAGTTATCTCGTTATACTTATGTACGGAATAAGTATATATAAGATAAATACTTATAAAATTTTAAGTTCCGCTGTAAACTCTGTTCCGTACAGTATATCGAACCTAACAGTGGTATCAGATCCACGTTACAATTTGCATCTTTAAAATCAGATTTTAATTTAAAAAATTGTTAAAAACACGAACTGGAATAAAAATCGAATAGAGTATTCGAAAACATGAGTCGTGAAGGATGACACGACTCGTGTGATCGGTCGTGTGAGGTCACAAGACCCGTGTGAGAAAGTCACACGAGTCTTGTGACTGGTCGTGTCACATCACACCTGTCGTGTGATGTGTGACACGAGTCGTGTGACATAAATTTTTTTTCAATTTATTCAATGTCACTCTCGCATTTTTCACACGAGTCGTGTGAGTATGCCACACGAGCCGTGTGACTGAACAATGATCAGAAAAGAGCTGTTTTGACTTAATATGAGTCATTACTACATCAACATATTAAATTAGTGAATTTATATGGTTGATTTTGGGATAATCATGAGCCTTTTATTCATAATGATGAATGATTGCATTTTTATTCAATATGATTGATGGTTGCATTTTTATTTAATGTGATTAAACGAATGTAATTTATCGAGACCTGCGAGTCTCTTGATTTATTATTTGTAAAATATAAAAATTTGTATCCTTAAAAGATTAGATCAAGGTGGAGACCGTTCGATGCAAAAGGCCCACGCATGTGTGGGTAATTTTACAAGTTGTAAATTTTGAAGGCCTGTGTATGTACGGGTAGATAAAATAAATTGTAATAGAAGTAGTTCTATTTATTTTATCACGTACATAGGCATAGACCCATTATGGCTCGAGTGGGTCGTATAGGCAAGGTCATGATCATCCCACCGTATGCATGCATTAGATGTATGTTAGGTTTATTTATGCTTGAGATTCATGCGATGAATAATGCGGTAAATAAACACACGTAAAGATGGTAATTAATGAGATCTAAAGAACCCTAAAGAATTAATTTGATTAATTTTATATCAAATCAATAATGGATAAAAATAACTTGGAACTTATTAATCCAGGCCTTCCATCAAAAGTAAACAACATGAGATGCTACGATGCTTTATCACCGACCATGAGTCGTGGGGTGGTTTTGTGTGCTACGATGCTTTATCACCGACCATGAGTCGTGGGGTGGTTTTGTGTCGAAAGTTGTGATCCCTACTGATATAGGATATTATCTGTATAAAGACGAGCCGATTTGGTGAGCCGGTCGAGAAGAGCAGACCGGAAGCGAACCACGCCGAAAGGCGGGAATCCACGTGATCGAGCGGCCCAAGGCTCGACCACACAAGCGA